CCTGGGTGGGGTTCATAAACAAGCTTAATAGAAAACATGAGAGTCATTAGCCACTTAATCAGATCTAATGTTTGATTGATAGCTGTATTGATTTTATATGTATTCTAAAGCTTAGTTAATACAAAATCAAAAGAGAACAAGTTTAATTTTTTATACTTTAAGCTAAATTTAATATTTTTTTATTTTATTTTTAAAAAAAAATCATGTTAATTATGAGTTAATTGTACCATTTGTTCCTAAATTATAATCTTTATTTAAAAATGGTCCTTAAACTTTTTAATATTTTAGTTTTATCCATAAACTATGTCACTCGATTTAAATTAGCCTTTAAACTTTTGAACATTCTAATTTCATCTCTAAACTATAACCCTCTTTCTAAATTAGTCCCCTAAATTTTGAATATTTTTAATTTTATTCCCAAATTCATCCAAATATGTAATTAGTTTCAATCATAGTGTAACTTAATTTTTTTTTAAACATATAATAATATAACTTAGCCTAACAATTTTTTTTAAAAAAGGATGTGATTAGTATATACATATAGTTTGGGATGAAATTGGAATGTTCAAAAAGTTTGGGATCAATTTAGAATGAGAAGTTTGGGGATGAAATTAAAATATTCAAAAGTTTGAGGACTAATTTAAGAAGATAATCATAGTTTAGGAATAAAATTAGAATATTTAAAAAATTAAGGACAAATTTAAAATAAATATCATACTTTGAGAATATGTGAAACAATTAACTCGTTAATTATTTATAATATTAATTCACTCTACTTTAATCATTAAAATGTCATATTTTATTAGTTTGATGACGAATCACGTTAATTAAAGGATTAATTATAATGTAACTATGAATTTTAGATAATGTATCAAATAACACTTAAAGTTTAGATAAAATATTAAATTAGTCTCTAAATTCTATCAAAGTCTTTTATCATTAATTGTGGCCTCGACAATTATTGATCTTCAAAATTTTCAGTTCACCCGATTTTAGTCTATTAAACACAAATTTAATATCCGTTTCACTAAAAAAAATACTCAAATTTTTATAAATATAGTTTAGAATTATTCAACTTTATTTAAAATTATATTTTCTTAAAATTAAATTATAATAATAAATTTATCATTAAAATTATATTTCATAAATTTAGAATATATCACATCAAATCTAAATTTTATAATAAAATATTATAGTTATTTAAATATATATATATATATATATATATATATATATATATATATATATATATATATATATATATAACATTACCCTCAAACAAAAGATATTTTTTATATATGTTTTATTAAATAGGTTAAGATAATTATAAAGATAATATCTATTTCAATTTTTTATAGTTTATTGATAATCCGTGTGTACACTTTACATGCACATTTTCTTAAACTCAAAATTTCTACAAAAAAAATATTTACTTTTATTACTTAAATCACTTAATATTATCATATAATTGATTTTAATATTAAATAATTAAAATTTTTAAAACAAATACTATTACTTATAATCTCCTTAATTAATAAAAGGGTAAAGTATAATAATGATCACTGAACTTTTTTACGCTTGCATTGCAATACAGTCCTTCAGTACTTAGTCCGTTTGTAATATGGTCCCCGACGTAACCGGCATTTTGACGCCGTTACACTACCGTTAAAAGAAGATGACGTGGCAGTCCTCCAACATTTAGTTCGTTTGCAATATGGTCATCGAACTTTTTAGGCGCTAACATTTAGGTCCTATAACTTTTAAAACTTGCAATACAATCCTCAATTTCATTCTAAACCCCGAATTCCAAAATAATTCAATTACATTTTAAACCTTAAATTCTAAAATACTTTAATTTAAGGTTTAGAATATAATTAAGTATTTTGGAATTTGGGGTTTAGAATGTAATTGAAGTGTTTTGGAATTTTGAACATGAATTTGCTATTTGACAGTGTTTACTTCAATATAAATTTGAGGTTTGTTGCATGCACATCCAACGGCTATCGCACTTTGAATATGAAAAGTGCACCTATCACGTTTATTGCATAAACCGTTGAAGTAAAAGTAAAAAGGACAATTTGTCTTGTTTATAGCTGCCACACTTTGGTATGACAATCCAGTAGGTTTGGATGAAACTTGAGCATGAACATCTAACGGCTGTGAAAATAGTAAAGAGTTTTAGTTCATAGGACTACAACATACAACCAAGCAATAACTAAAATAAACCAAGAATATCAATTAATAACTCATTCGAAAGGATGACTTAATAAATAAAGGGAAAGAGCACTGCTTGGGTTTACAATTTTACATAGCGGAAAACTGAAGAACAAAAACCAAACGAGAGTGAATATGAGCGAAAGAGATAGAGAGGTGAAGGCGCTGTTTGGGATTTCATTATATTTGATCATTTATTGGAAAATATTTAACCACAAGGATTAAACGAATAAATTATTATATTCCATTTATACAAAATAATTCCAGTTTTGTTGGTGACTTTCAACAATGATACTTAGTTCATCTTAGTAGTATTTGTCAACTCTGCATTTCTAACCCCATTTTTTCTCACAAGCATTTCATCGAACATCTATGCTTCACCTGAGATGACCTGTATCTTGTTGGGACCGTCGGCGCACCCCATGGCGCAGCGAAAACAAAACTCGACGGTCTCACCAGTGATCAAAGTACGAAAAACTAAAATCGGAAGGAAGAGATGCGAATACTTACAGTGGGTTCCTTGAAAACAGCAAGAACAACAGTGAATACGGTGGTGTAGATCGATTTGAATCGAAAGCCTTCACGAAATCACGTCTCGGCCTCTACTCAGTTTACCCGATGAGAGCAATATTTTTTTCCCCAAAACTATTTTAAGAGAAAACGGCTGAAGGGTTTGTGTGTTGCAAAAAACGGCTGCTAGACCTAACACACCCTTTTATAGCTAAGTTACCCTAATCATATTAGGGTTTTATTATTTCAAATTAATTAAATCTATATTTAATTAATTGAAATTTAGTAATCCTCTTATATTCAAGTTACCCTAATCATATTGGAGATTTTATTATTTCAAATTAATTAAATCTATATTTAATTAATTGAAATTAAATATTTGGGATTATTAAAACATATATTTAATCAACTCTAGATATATATTTTAGTAACGTACAACAAATTGTACATCTTTGCTCGTTTCAATCCTAGGGCGTGACCTTGTAGGTTATTGTAACGTTAGCAGCAATTATTAGAACAATTCTAATATTACATATAATGAGTGACATCTAGCAATATATCATTGTCACCTAAGTTAAAAGAAAATATGATTCGACATATCATCTTGGTAATTACTCTTTTATGTATTACATCCTTATGTCCTTTATATCTAGAATAGGCACAAGTCTTGGAATAGTCACACTTGTATAGCCCATCTATTATTTCTTGATATCTAGAGTAGACTTTAATTAACAAAAAGTTTATCATATCTCATATCAACTTATTCGAGTATGGCCATGCGTTTCTAGTCTTACTCAATCAAGTGGCCTGTGATATATTTCCTATTATGTAGGAATGACAAATCTTATCTTAATCATACACACCCATTACATATATTGAGATATATTCAATAACAGTCTTTATAGAGCAACCAGTTACGGAGCTTGTTTAACTGTATCAAAACATACAACAATATATGTTGGGATAGTATTGATCTCAAGTATGAGGATCATACATATAGTCATCACCATGAGCAATGTTATGACTGTCACATAATAATCCAAGGCATATGCTCATGGTCAGTCAATCCAATACATGTTCTCTAACAATATAATCATGTATCAATTCTGACATCTCTATGTCAATGACAACTCATTGTCATCAATCAATAACATGTTAGTCTTAAGCGTATTATTATTGTCCATGCCCATAATAATACTTGACTAGGGATATTTTAATAATAACAATTATGTCATTATATGGACTTTATTATCTTTCAGTTTATATTAAACACATATATATAAATGAAAATAATAGCGGCAATGCCTTTATTCAATAAAATCGGTAAATAAAAGTATTATTACAATCATCATATGATTGGTCTTTGGGCATACTCTAACATATCTAACATTACACCTTGAATCGTTGCTGGTCCCGATAGTCCCTTGGTCAAGTCTTCTCTGAATGGACCCTTATTCAAGTCAACACCTCCACAGAATTCAAAGTTAGATTAGAATTTCCCATGCATCCCCGATTAAAAAGTTGCGCTAGAAATGAGAAGAGAGAAGCGAAAAAGGAAATTCGAGATCGAAAAGTAATTTAGGGTTTAAAATGAAATTAAGGACTGTGTTGCACGTTTTAAAAGTTAGGGGACCTAAATGCAAGTGCCTAAAAAGTTTAGTGACCATATTGTAAACATACTTAATATTGGAGGACTACCATGTCATCTTCTTCTAACGATAGTGTAACTGCGTCAAACGACCGGTTACGTCGGAGATCATATTGCAAACGAACTAAATAGTGGAGGATTGTATTGTAAGTTTTAAAAGTTAAAGGACCTAAATGAAAATTTCATAAAAATTCAGTGACCATTACTATACTTTACCCTTAATAAAAAATATCACATTCAATTTATTTTAATATTTTATATGTAGTTAGCAAAATCATGACTATATCAATGACATGCGTACAAGAACGGTAATATCTAGATGCCAAACTAGGCAATGACAGTCGCCAAGACCGACTCTTAGGAACACGCAATTAAATCTGGCCCATCGTTTTCAACCTCGAACATTATTTTCCGTCAACCACCTAACGCGTGCAATCCCAACGTCGCGTGTTGATATTTCCTCATTAGATGCTCACGACAATTACGACCATAGATCCACAGTCTCAAATACAAAAGCACAGGAAAGCGTAATACTAATTTCGTAAATATAACAAAAGTTTGCTCTATTTTAGTAAAACCACATGCCCTTCATTTCTTTTATAAATAACAAACATTTCTTCCCATGTTATTTTAGAATCAAATCTCTCACGAAACTCAAGTCTTTCTTTTCGTTATATCTTTCACTAACAAAGGTAACCTCACAATCCCGGTAAAGGTACGCTTAGAACCCTAGAAAATCTTACTCTAATTTATTAAATATTTGAACCAAAGGACTCGTTAATGTTATTTATTGCTTGTCAAAGACAGTTATGTGATCGTATTTATATGCATGGTGTTTTGTCTAGATTGTATGTATAAGTTGAGGTGGTGGCGGTGATGGGGAAGGGGAGACCTAGGGCAGTTGAAACAGGACAAAATTTGAGCGTCTCATCCGCTGGGTCATTCAATATGCAGTCAGGGCCGGTTTATTACCCCAGTGAAGAGGAATTCAGGGACCCATTAGAGTATATTTATACGATCAGGCCTGAGGCTGAGCCATATGGGATTTGTAAGATTGTTCCACCTAAGACCTGGAGCCCTCTATTTGCCTTGAATGTGGAGTCTTTTACTTTTCCTACTAAAACACAAGCGATCACCAGTTGCAGGCACGGCCTGCTTCTTGTGATTCAAAGACCTTTGAGTTAGAGTATAATAGGTTTCTGGAAGGACATTGTGGTAAGAAGTTGAAGAAGAGTGTGATTTTTGAAGGGGAGGAATTGGATTTGTGTAAATTGTTTAATGCTGTGAGGAGGTATGGGGGTTATGATAAGGTTGTGAAGGGGAAAAAGTGGGCGGAGGTTTTTAGGTTTGTGAGGTCCTGGGAGAAAAAGATTTCAGAGTGTGCTAAGCATGTTTTATGTCAGTTGTATAGAGAGCATTTGTATGATTACGAAGCTTATTATAAACGGTTGAGTCAGGAGAGGGCAAAGAGTTACAAGAGAGGCATTGTTGAGGATGCAGAGAGTGAAAAGAAGGTTAAAATTTATAGTTGCAAGAGGAGAAGGAAGAATAGTGACCATTGGAATGATATGGTTTGTAAGGTCGAGGACGAAGATCTTGATCAGATATGTGAGCAATGCAGAAGTGGGTTACACGGGGAAGTGATGCTACTGTGTGATAGATGTAATAAGTGGTGGCATATATATTGTCTGTCACCACCATTGAAGCAGGTTCCACTGGGCAATTGGTACTGCTTTGAATGCCTGAATTCTGACAAAGATAGTTTTGGTTTTATTCCTGGAAAACAGTTTACATTGGAAGCTTTTAGGCGTTTGGCTGATCGAGCCAAGAAGAAATGGTTTGGATCAGGATGTTTCAAGGGTACAAATAGAGAAAAAGTTTTGGGAGATTGTGGAGGGTTTGGCAGGTGAGTTGGAAGTTATGTATGGAAGTGATTTGGATACTTCTGTTTATGGGAGCGGTTTTCCACGTATAAATGACCAGAGGCCAGAATCTGTAGAGATTAAAGCTTGGGATGAATATTGTAGGAGCCCATGGAATCTCAATAACTTGCCCAAGTTGAAAGGTTCGATGCTGAGGGCTGTTCATCATAACATTACTGGTGTCATGGTTCCCTGGCTGTATATTGGAATGCTATTCTCTGCTTTCTGCTGGCATTTGAAGATCATTGTTTTTATTCAATGAATTACCTTCACTGGTATGTTTCCTTTAATGTCTTCTGCTCTTGTCTTTTCAGTAGATCATGTTGACGTTCTTGTTACTGCTTTTGAGGTTCTACTGAGACGTGATTTGTGCATTTATGTTATAAAATTTGTCTGGGCATTCCTATTACTAGACCGTGTGCTTTATAGCAAGCCAAAATGTCATCTAAAGTTAAATGGTTCAAATGTATTTCATTAGAGGCTGGATGAAAGTTAGCTAAGGAAGGAACTTGTAGTATCTAGAAGATGGTTCAGATTAGATCAGCATTAGATTCTGGCTGTATGTCCATGCTCAGATATACTTCATGCATCTATAGTGTCTGGTCCATTTACAACTTATTATGCTTCTCATCTATGAATTCTCTGTTTAGGTTCCTTTATAAGCAATCAAGACATAACTGAGGACTGAAGATAATATTTAAGTAATAATAATTCAGTGCACACATGTTTCAATTTACTTGCATGATATGACATACCTTATTGGAAAAGGACATAATACATATTTATATTCTTAATCTTCTGATGGTTTTGGTTGATCTGTGCCTATGTTTTCCAGAATACATGCATAAAATTTCATTTGTGAAGTTTGATGGTTATACTTTGTGTTTTCAGGGGAGAACCTAAATGCTGGTATAGTGTCCCTGGCAATGAAGCTAGTGCTTTTGAGAAGGTAGAGTTTTTAGATTTAATGTCATACGTTTCGCTTTGACATGTGGGTCCTTTAAAACCGCTTCTTTCTTGTGACTATATTCTTCTTTTTTATTTTCCCCTTATTTTATAATATAGACATCCAAGTGTTTTTTATACTAGAATATGATTTCACCTGTTTTATTTTTCCTTCTGTTGAATGGTTTGTGAATACGCTAGCTGATGTATTCATGATTCCACTCTAGCATTTCATGAGTTTGAGTATTACTCTTTCTTGTTTTCTGAAGTATGAATGCATCTGAGCTTTTACTGTTTTTGTAGGTGATGCGGGATTGTCTCCCTGATCTATTTGATGCGCAACCTGACTTGCTCTTTCAGCTTGTTACGATGTTAAATCCATCTGTCTTGCAAGAAAACGGTGTACCAGTCTATAGTGTGCTACAGGTTTTTTTTCATCATTTTTATTTTATAGTTGAATGAAGAAAACTGTTAATGTTTTATGTTTGCTCAACTATTTTGATTTCCTAAAAGCAGCCATGGCTTTATAACTCGTAGGCTAAGTTCAATGTTCAATGATTGCAATCCATCTGTATATGTAGTTTTTACTTATATATTCACTTAGGTATGTATGAGTTTTTATTTTCACGTGAACTTTGAGTTGGCTGTTTGATGTATTTCTTTCAAATATTTTTTTCTTTTGTTTGTGTCTGGTTAAAAGGTGCCTATAGGCTCTAGTTTAGGGTATTAAAATTCTATTTTGAGAAAGTTTGGCATTTAATGCTCTATTCTCACTAAATTCAAGAAGGACAATGTGGTAACTACAGATTTGGTTTCCTATAAATATCACCTTAACTAGTGCCCACTATTCACTTATTAACATACCCCTTATGTTTGGTTTATGCTATCAATTCTGTGTGTTGACCTAGTTTCCCTTTTTATAATATTTTCTTGCTTTTGTTTTCTAGGAGCCTGGAAATTTTGTCATTACGTTCCCTAGATCTTATCATGGAGGATTCAATTTGGGTAAGCTGTCATAGTTTTACGAGCTAGTCATTTGTTAATTAAAGGTATGATTTAGCGTGTCTAGACTTGAAAAGAATTATTTTCAGTAAACTTTGCTTTGTCTTTTCAGGTTTAAATTGTGCAGAGGCTGTGAATTTTGCTCCTGCTGATTGGTTACCGCATGGTGGCTCTGGGGCAGAGCTGTATCAGTTATATCGTAAAGCTGCAGTTTTATCTCATGAGGAGCTACTTTGTGTGGTGGCCAAGGTATAAGTTCCCATACCCATTGTTATTCATTACTTCAAGAATAAGTATCATAAAACAGATGGTTTGATGTTCTTTTAGCTATTTTTTAAAAATAAAACAAGAAGAATGTGAGGCCAATGACTCATGTTAAATTTATCCTATGTTGAATTAGAATGTGGTAACCAAGAAGCTTTCAAGGTATAAGTTCCCATACCCATTATTATTCATTACTTCAAGAATAAGTGTCATAAAACTAAGAGATAACTCTTGCACAGTACTAGGACCCTGTCAAGAAGCTGCTGGTCGGGTCCTCCATCTTTGATGGAATTAATGGCCATTAAATCTGGATTAGTTTTCTTTGGATCTTCTAGCTGGTGTTCTATGGGACGGTTGATTATTGAGAGCGACAGTAAATTATGTGGAGTGGATTAAGAATTTGGATAAATGCCCAAGTCTGTATGTTTCAATTTCTAAAGCAATTGCGGATAAGATCAGAAACTTGGAGGGTATTATTTGTTGGATAGCTAGGTCAGCAAACTTAGAGGCTGACGCTTTAGCAAAGACAAGAATAGGTTAAGATAGGGAGTGTGAGTTGGTTTTTGTTTTTTCTTGACTTTTGGTTTATATCTATTGTATGGGGGCAAAGTTTCGTTGTACTCGTATGCTTTGTATTGCTCTTTTTATTAGTAAAATTTGAGGCACTCTTTTCCTCCTCCCACTGATCTATGGAATACCTTATGGTGTTCTAGAAATCATGAAGGGGTTTTTTAACGAGGCCTTCATTTCTTATAAAAAAATTAGATGCCAGAGCTCAAATGATTTGTAATTTTTTTTGAATCCTTTGGTTATCAGAGTGATTGGGATATATGATTGATGAGGTTAAATTTATCATTCAGAGTTAAAATGCTTCCTAATTTTTTTAATTGCATTCTTTTGGTTAGCAGAGTGATTGGGATAGCAAGGCATCAACTTATTTGAAAACAGAATTGCTCAGAATATATAAAAATGAAAGGACATGGAGGGAGAGGCTTGGCTAAGTGGCATAAAAAGATCATCTCCCATGTCTCCTCGGAATTCTCCTGAATTTGTGGGTACTGAAGAGGTAGTACTTGGTGATGGAGGAAAACTCTGGCTTTATTTATTTTCAATGCTTTATAGCAAGATAATACTTGATCATGAAAATCTCACTGTGGTTATTGTAGGATCCAACATGCATTATATGTAAGCAGTATTTGTATCTTTCTGCTGTTGTTTGTCGCTGCAGGCCATCTGCTTTCGTCTGCCTGGAGGTAACCTAAATTTATGATAATTTCTATTCTTAATTCATTTGCATCCTCATTACATTTAAATTTTTGAAAATTGTTCTTTAAAATTTTTATTACTTTTGCACACCCCTCAACCCAAAAAAAAAAGAAAAACCAACACACAGATTTTGCCCCGCTGAAATTCAGTTCCTTTACTTTCAAAAGAGAATTCCAGGATGCATAGTTTTTTCCAACCGTATTTGCCATTATTGGTGTTGTTTCCTGATTCCTGGTTATTGGAAACTTAAAGTCGCATGCATTTTTATATAGTTAATTTTTAATAATACAATGCATTCTGTTTGCATTCCAACCACCAGATGTTAGTGTGCCCTTCATAGGCTTACTTCAAATGAATTTTGCTGATGAAGGTTTTTTGAGGCTAATTCCTTCTATTCTGATTTTGCGGTTCTTTTAAATAAATTATGCAGCATTGGGAACACCTCTGCGAGTGTAAATCCAGTAAACTCCTTCTTCTCTATCGTTATACGCTGGCAGAATTGGCTGATTTAGTGCTTATGGTGGATAAGCATGCTTCGGAGGAGACACCGCAAAATGATAGTTTACAAAGGAATATTTCTTCTTCCAAGGAACTGAATGTTTTAAAAAGAAGGTTATTAGTTTCTTTTTGATGTTTGTAAAAAATTGCTGTTTTATTTATTTTTTTGTAATGAGCTTTGCTTATACCGTGAATGTGGAGTAGTCTTAATATAATAATTTGATAGATTTATTGATTTTTTTTATGGTGTTTGAGTGGAAATTAGTAGTCATAGGGTCCTATCGGACCGGTGAAGATTAGTTTATTGTGAAATGCTTCTTGACATACTTGTTTGGTTAGTGAATTTAACTTGTGTTTCCTTTATGATTCCTATTGCTCATGTTGGTGACCGTTAATACTAAAATTTCAAGTGAAGACTATTCGATTGGGTTCAGAAATCGGATCTACCTAGAATTTTGATTTGTGAAAACTCATTAGTAAGGCCTGGCATGTTCTACTTTATTCCCTGTAAAGCCATAGTATCCTATCTGGTAATATACATTTCTCAGCCTTTTTGGTTGTTGAAGTTGTAGGCATGTATTGCCTTACATTGCCTTGAAAATTTCTTTAGAGACAGTTACACTAATTCTTACTGCTATTGTTTGTTCTTTAGTGTGTTTCAATAATGAGAGAATGATCCCTGAATGTCAATACTTAGCAATCTAGTGACTTTCTGTTTATGATGGGATGTTTAGCTTTGGGTGGGTACATAACTAATTTAATGCATGTAGGTGAAAGGTGCCCATGTTACTCATACTCAACTTGCAGAACAATGGCTTTCACGCTCGTGTAAGATTTTGCAGAGTCCTTTTGATGGTGATGCATGTACCAGCCTGTTAAAGGGAGCTGAACAGTTTCTCTGGGCTGGTGCTGAGATGGATTCGGTAAGATTTGAGCCTGATATGGTTCATTCCTGTATATGCTCTTCTTCTGCACATTATTATAATGGTAGCTAAAGCAACTATTTTCATGTAATATAGGTCCGGGATATGGTAAAGAATCTGACTGCAGCTCGGAAATGGGCACAAGGCATAAGAGACTGTCTTTCTAAAATTGAAAACTGGTATCCTGGAGGTGATTTTGAGAAAGTGACTCATAAACTGGTTAACAAATTGCTTAGTGTTGATCCTGTGCCCTGTAATGAGCCTGGATATCTCAAGTTGAAGGTACAGCTGTGTAGCATTGCTTAATCTCTTATCTTGTCTCTGTGTGTGAGTTCTTAGAACTGTTTATTTTGTGTAGGACTTTGCTGAAGAGGGCAATTTGTTGGTTCAGGACATTGATGCTGCTTTATCAACGTGCTCTAAGGTATCTCTGAACATGCTTCAACTTCTTATTCCAATGAATTAAAGTTAATGCTTTTATTATCTGGAGAGTTTATTGTTTGGACTGGACTCTCTTTTCTCTATCATGTTGAGTTTTGACTAATATTTTCATGTCTAATTCTAGATCAATGAGTTGGAGTTACTGTATTCAAGGGCTTGCAGCTCACCAATCCATGTAGCACAAAGTGAGAAGTTATCACAAAAAATCTCTTGGTAAAGGTATATCTTTAACATTCAAAATTGTTTTTTTTGTTATATGAATGTCCATTGTCATTCCTGATCCATTTCCATGGACCATCGTTGAGTACCCAGGTATGGGTAGACAATGCGAGGAAAGCTATATTTGATGAATGGCCTGCAGCAGTGGAGGTTGACATTCTTTACAAGTTAAAATCAGAGGTGATTGAATTTCTTTACCTCATAAATTATCTTTCTTCTTTGAAGAAAAAAGACCTGAGAGTATGGTTGTGATTCTCTTTATTATTTATGACATTTCATCATTTTTTGGATAGATATTGGAGCTTCAGGTCCAAGTTCAGGAAAGAGAAATGATTTTGATATTGTATGTCTGGCTGAATCATGTCAGGCTCGGTGTAGATATTTATTGAGTAGTTCCATGACTCTAAAGGTAGTCACTTCATTCTTATGTTTCCACTTTTAAATGTGCATGTATATTTAAGAACTTGTACTTTGAACTCTTAATTGTGCAGGATGTTGAAGTTCTTCTTCAAGAAATGACAAGTTTCAGTGTTAACATACCTGAGTTGAGAGTTCTGAAGCAATACCAGATTGATGCTTCTTTTTGGATCACACGCTTTAATGGTATTATGATAAATATCAATCAGAGAGAGGATCGACAAAGTGTTATTGATGAATTAAATTGCCTTTTAGAAGATGGAGAGTCTCTGAAGATTCAAGGTTCTTCTAATAGCCATAAATAAATGTTCTTTGGTGTTCTTTTGGACTATTCTTTTGTTATTGATTATTTTTACTCTAAACAGTCGATGAGTTGTCACTTGTGAAGATTGAGTTGAAGAAGGCTTGTTGCAGGGAAAAGGCAATGAAGGTAATGATATCCTCTACCTTTCAGCTTTTGCATGTTAGTATTTCAGAGTGCATGCATCATGATATCTTATGTTTATAATTCCCTAACATTTACAGCATATATTTTATTGATTTAGGCACGCAATACAAAAATGGCTTTGGACTTCCTTCAGCAACTGTTAGCAGACGCTGTTGTGTAATGCACTCTCTCTCTTAGTTTTTCCTTACAACTGATGGCACCAAGTGTTGGCTTTGTTACACTTTTTCCTGCTTCTAAGTCTCATTCTGGTGTTCTTTTTCCCTCCCAGTTTGCAGATTGAGACGGAGGAGTTATTTCTAAGTTTGTCTAGAGAACTTGAACGTGCCCTGCAGTGGGAAGAAAGAGCAAAGGATATACTTGCATGCAAAGCTCAGATGTCTGAATTTGAGGATCTTATAAGGTTTGGTGATCAGTTGCTACCATGCCTCTCCTCATTGAGTTCTATGTATTGCTTCCTTATTGCATATGATCATACTGAATTTGATCTCTTTTTAGGATGTCGAACAACATAGTTGCTATTATGCCTTCATTAGATGATGTCCAAACTGCAATATCGGTGGCTAACTTATGGTTAAATAATAGCAAGCAATTTTTAGAATCTGATTTTTCTGAGTCATCCACATCTCGTTCTTTGCTGAAACTTGATGATTTGAAGGTACAAATCGTTCCTTAATCTGGTATATCTACTGAAGTTATTGAAACAAATTTGATCAGGTGGTTTTATATTTTTCAGGAGTTGGCTTCTCAGTTGAGATTTCATAAGATGACATTAATCAACAAGATGTGCTTGAAACTATTTTGAAGATAGCAAGAGATGGCAGTGTGATGCCTTTTCTCTTCTGCAAGATCTGGAGTGCCTGTATGGTGTGACCGACATTGGGGATGGTAGGAGCAATGGTCTTATTTTGAAAATTGAACATCTCGTTAACTTGCTTGAATCTGTCACAAAAGCTGGTTTATCTCTTGGACTGGATTTTCCTGAGATTCCAAAGCTTCAAAATGCTTGTTCGACACTGCATTGGTGCAATAAAGTCCTTTCTTTCTGCTATTTGATGCCTTCTTATGAGGTAACAATTTTTGGAACTTTGTTTTGCATGTCCTAGTTGTTTAGAACATTGAATAATATGAATTATACCTGGTTTTGGTGCAACCCCCCCCCCCCCCCCACAAAGAAAAAAATTGTGCCTTTTCTTGAGGTTTTATTCTTAACAATATTCGTAAGTGCCGTTTCTTCCTATTCACATATTCACATCTATGATGGGTTCTGTTTCACAGGATGTTGAGAGTTTGATGAATAGTGTAGAGAACCTCTCTATTATGCATTCTTCCGGTAGTTTGTTGAGCTCACTAATTTTTGGAGCAAAATGGCTCAAGAATGTCTCAGAGGTGATTTCTGCACCCATAAAGTGTAATGCATGCAAATTGACTGATGCTGAAGAGTGCTTGCTGAATATCAGTATTTTTATCCTTGCATTTCCGCTCTGTGCTTGTACCTGTAGGAACTTAAAGCTTCTATATACATCTTCTGGATTTGGGACAGTTATTCCGCTTATCTTGGCATTTAAACTTCGCATATGCCAGGGTATTCGTGTCGCCTTCCCAATGATGTTTGCCCAACTCATGGAGGCTGCCTGCAAACATAGGTCTGTCTTTTAATTGTCTAACAACATTCCATTTGACTGACATTTTTCTTTTGGAATTTGGTTTATTTTTAGCTTTTACTTCAACTTTTACTCTAGTAACCCAAAGCTATGATGAATGATTTCAGTATTTTGGTATATAAGAAAAATGTACCCTTATTTTAAACTTGTTTCTAAATTTCGCTCTGTGCATGTAACATTTCTCAGTTTAGGGCTTTAGGCTACTACTTATATGGGGCCTTAAATAAATATTTGTTGTTGGATAAGCCAAGTGCATGTATCCCATCAAGTAGTAAACTATTGCTACCATGAAGAAATTAAACTAATCTTTTTAAGCACTAAAATTAACTTAAACAACATTAATCTAATTAAACTAAATTAACTTAAAGCAAATAAATAACAAAGAAAATAATTAAAATTGATTAAATCAATGGATAAAAACCTAGAAATTCAATTTGTTTTAACAGTTCGTTAAATTGTTTTTTTCTCTTTTCTCTTGATTAATGACCCTCTTCCGAAGCTCAAGTAAAAATATCCCTTTAATTCATTACTAGTTTTATGAGAATTAAATTAAGGAAAATTCCTTGAACTTATACTCTAGTGGTGGTTGCATATGACATGTAACTATTTTCTATCTTACATGCAGCTCAATACATCATAATAAATGACGATGATACATATGATATTCAATCAAGTCTAAACATATAATTCCATTTTTCAAGTTCATTAATGTTTAGAAAATTTTATTAATTGTAGCCAAACAACTAGAAGCAATAAGCACAAGATTGAATAAACAAGTCAACTATCATTTGATAAAGAGATACTAAAAAAATAAAAAGGAGTAAAGAGAAAAAAGAAAACTAAGTTGTGCTTGAGTCTTTAATGTTTCTCTGAATTCTCCTTAGGTCTTTTTAGTTTTTTGTGATGGATTCTCTTCATAAACTTAGGTTTATTGTACTTAAATAGGCTTATTTTGTGCCCTAGAAGCCCTAAAAACAAGTGTAATTTGTTGCAAGGTAGTTTAATTGGCCCAGGCTGCAGCACTGAGCTTGCTGTAATTTTGTGCGGCAGCACCAGCTCTTTAAGGTGGTTTTGCCCATTTTGATGCCATTTTTCTGATTTGTCTGTTTCTTGCTGGAAAAGATTTCTAACTGATTTTAACGTACAAAAAATAAAATTAATTAATTTTTAATTATAAAATAAATATTGAATGTAATATAAAGGAAACACTAATAAAGTACTACTACGACACAAAAGGTTAAGCTCAGCTAATTTTAATCTATGTTACCTCCCGGACTCTGCTGTTTGGGTGCCGTTCTGGTGTTGACATGATCTGACATGGGATATGGGTCAGATCTGGAGAAAACTGCACTGACGGTGGGTGAAATTGAGGGTTAGGAAAAGAAAAAGAAAAAGAAAACAGAAGCACAATGGAGAAAAAAAGGTCTGATGGGGGAAAAAGAAGTATTAAAATAATAATATATTCATATGTCCAAATATATTAAAGCATAAATATACTAAAATAATAATATGTATGTAATAATAAAATAATTTATCAAAGAATTATCTATATTAAAATAATATTATATTCATATGCCCAAATACCATTGTCCAAAACTCGGACAATGTCCCTGTGTCTGGAATTCTAGACTTGATTATTGGATCCTTATTTTGCTGACACCCGTGTCCCAAGTCTAGGTGACTTGGGTTTTAATACACCAAATGAGACAAAAATAACTGTTTCATTGAGGTATCAGTATTCTTGTTTTTGCCACAACTTTTGGTTTGAAGGCGCCAAGGTGGTGTGAATTGTGACAATCTGGTTACATGCATGTGTATGTGCATGATACTTATTACTGTGTTTTTGTATGACTTTCATCTTGATACCAGAGATGATATTTATGTTGATTGTTGATTTTGTGTTTAACTGTAAATGTAGGCTATGGCAGGAGCAAGTGAATCGGTTTTTTAGTTTAGAGTTAATGGAGCGGTCCTGGTCTCAATTTATGCAGCTTGAGGTATGCGATGGGTGTCTAATGAGTAAAGTTGAGGCAGGATTTTTTTTTTTGCTCTGTGTTGTAACTTGTGGGATTAGTTACTGTCTTCTTTTTCCCAAGAAATTAAATAGAATGCCTATCTAGTAATGTATTCATGTTATGATCATGAAAAGAATTACATTTTACAATGAATTTGGTTGTTCTCTTATTTGTTGTTTCCTAATCCTTTTAGTAAAACATTGTTTCACTTTTTATGTATTTGCGAACTCAAGAGTGTTTTTGTGTTGGTATGTGATTTATATTTTTTAAGCTTGAAGTTGATTTGATTTCTTATGAACTTCACACACAGGAGTATGGAAAAGCATCATTCTTTACGTGTGAAGAAGTAGATATGGTCTTGTCTGAAGTCGCAAAGATTGAGAAGTGGAAGCAACGCTGCAGGGATGCTATAAGAAACTTTGTTGGAGATGAGAGCTCAACGCTCTGTGCCTTGCAGAAGGTTTAGTCATATAATCCTTTCTGTATTCCAAACTTTGATTTCTTATTAGGCACCTTTAAGAATCTTTTCTGGTTTTCTCCAGATCAAAGAATCCCTAGATAGATCGTTGTACGTATACGAAAAGTCTAAGAGCTGTGAAGGAGTATGTCTCTACATGTGCTGTATAAATGGTTCTGAGGATTGGGATTTTGTAACATGTTCAGCATGCAAGGACTGGTAAGGTCATTGTTTGGTGTTATGAGTTTTCCAGTTATTCGCTTGTTTCTAAATTTTTTTCTATCAAGTTTCGAGTTTTATATAAGTATGATTCAAGTTCTCTCCTTCTTTTGCATGCTTTGTAATTGATATCTCTTGTTCTCATCCTATTGGTGTCTTCTTTATGAGCAGCTACCATTTGCTGTGTCTGGGATATAGAAATAATCCAGAAGTATATACATGCTCATATTGTAAGCTTCTTGCTGGTGGATTAATACCTCCCAACAGAGGTGGCTTCCTGGTATGCATTTACTTTTGAATGATCTTTTAGTAGAACCTTGTATGTCTATTAACTACTTCTCTCACTTTTCACAGGGACTTAATGGAAAGTATTCAGACTTGGAGCTTCTCTCTAATCTTGTATCTGTGGATGAAAACCTTTGTGTAAGGTATACAAGTGAATTTAAATGCTATTTTGTGGTGTCTGCCTGTCTGGTATTCTGTGTTTAATTTTCAATATGTTTTAAATTTTAATACACTATTGCCTTTTCATCTCTGCAAAAAAAAAAATCACAATGATAAATTATGTAATTGGGTTTCATGTCCGTCGGTTAAAAAAAAATTGAAGTGATAATTTAAATGCTTTAAAATATTAAATTAAACAAAGGAGTTGCTAGGAACCCTTGTTCCATGTTCAATTGAGGTATTGTGTTCCTATTTTTAGAGTTCTGGAAAATAGAGTTGGCATGTAACGAATATCTTCTTGTGTCACTTTCACCTGAAACTGATTGTCATTTGTCAGTTGCTAGAACCCTTGTTCCATGTTCAATTGAGGTATTGTGTTCCTATTTTTAGAGTTCTGAAAAATAGAGTTGGCATGTAACGAATATCTTCTTGTGTCACTTTCACCTGAAACTGATTATCATTTGTCAGTTGCTATTTATGTTGAATGTTTAGCGTAAACTGACCGCCCTTATCCTTCTATACTTTTTGCAGAACATGAATGTTGATATTTTCTGCAATAAAAGAATATAAACAATTTTTTTACTTGCTTTTATCAACCATTTTGATAGATTTCTGTAATTTCTGAATACAAAAAATTGGTTTCTTTGGGTAATGTTGCAGGATTGACGAAAGAGATATATTACAACAAATTGTGGACCAAGCGTATGCTTGCAGAAAGTGTTTGACAGAGATAGTGGACTTTGAAATTTCTTGCTATGATAAAGATCAGCTCACTTATGTCAGTAAGAAACTTACAACTGCTTTGAAGGTACCCTTTTTCTTCCCACTTTTCCTCACCCTGTTTATCATTCATATATTTTTGCTATAAGACTATTTTTTGGACATGAAATGATGTTTGCTGGCAATGGTGTTTGTCGCTCTGCCAAAATGCAGTAGCTATCCAAGTTAATTTGATTTCTTGGTACAGGCCATTGGAGTGTCAGGTGTATGATCATCAAAGTTATTGTGATCTTGAGCGGGCATTGGCAAGATGCTCATGGAGATTCCGAGTTGCTAGATTGTTAGATGCTTTAGAGAAGGGTTTAGAGAAGCCTTCAATCCAACAGATTGACTGGCACCTGAAAGAGGTATATGCTACTGGATATAGAGTTACTTATGAATTTTTCAAGCCCATTGCAGTCGGATACTTTTGATTAAAAGCTCTGGTCCTCGGTGATTGACATAATTTCCACCTCTAATTATTTTACTTGTGTTGAGATATGAAATGAACACATCAACAATCCATAGTTATAAAGTTCCAGGTGGTATCTAATATGAGTTGTTAGATCTCCTTATCTGCTCACTTCTGATTCTTTTAACGCTCATGAAGATGTCAACCTGCATTTTCTTCTTATCAAGATCCTTGTTGATTAACCATTGCAAATTCACACATTTCATTAGATATCGCTATTTGGTCAGTTAGCCTTTTAGAACCAATGAACAAATTATCTAGCCTGATACCTGTACAAACTGTCAAAAGTGAAGAACTGATAATGTTTGGAGAAATATCACAGGACTTTGTTTGTTTACATCCATTTTTTCCTTTCAACAGAACTATGGTTATCGGCTTTTCTGGATGTGTACGTCTTTGTATCATGAATGCATTTTCATTTGCATGTGTGCATCTAAAGATAGTTTTCTGATAGGGAAATGCAATGAACATTTACTGAAGATTACTTCAGATTGAAGCTTTCAGAATTGAAGGACATTGGATTGCAGTGGGCTGGTCGTGCCGACAAGGTCAGGATCCTTTGTTTGCATGTGTACGCGACTTCCGAGTAACTTTGTCATGACCCTTCACTTAACTCATCTTTTCCTTTAACAGGTTGCAGCTGATTCTGGGGCACTCGGTTTAGATGGAGTTTATGAACTTATCACAGAGGGGGAAAGTTTGCCAGTTTGCTTGAGGAACGAACTTGAGGTATCGAATTGCATCTTTATACAACCAAGTATGTTTGTGACTTTTTTTTAAAAACAAAAGATAACAAAGTTGGTTAATTCAGGTATTAAGAGTCCGAAGTATGCTTCATTGCATTTGCCGAAAGCCGTATGAAAAGAAAACCATGATTGTTTGCAGTCAGTGTGAGGAGTGGTACCATGTGAGATGCGTTAAATTAACCTTCACACCAAAGGTTTATATCTGTGCGGCTTGTATGCCTGGGAGTAAACACCTGGTGTCTTCTTTGGACTCCTCATTGGATCATGAGAGGTAATGTCAATGGAACACTGTTTCTATCGGGCATAAGCCTTCAAGTTCTTTCTTAAAATAATTGTTCTTGTTTTAATGCTTTGGCAGATACATGGACTCCAAATTGTGGAGCCGAAAACCCCGTCTCCGCGACATAAAAAACCGGGAATGGGACCGAAGAAACCTGAGTCACAGAGAACATCGGCAGTTAGAAAGAAAAGTGGTATATTGTTCAACTAGATGGTTTGAGTTGGCAAAACCGGAAGCCTTTTAGGAGAGCAGCGAAAAAGCGTGCAGAGCTTCATAGTCTACATTTTGCATAGACCACATTGTTAGCAGTTAGCAATAATGAAGCATTTCAGTAATTCAATTGATTCTTGTGGCCTAATCCCTTTTGTACATTGTTCAGCCCAATAATCAATAATCTGCATTTTTAATTATTGGTTCTAATGTATCCAAGTGAACGTGGATATGATGCAAATGTTAAAAACCAAGAACCCCCTGAACTTTTGAATCTCAGTTGATAAGAAAGGTTTAATAGTGTCTATAAATTAATACTACTAATTTTTTTTAATTCTAGAAAAGTGCGGGTGCTTTTTGTCATCACTTGCTACCTACATGTCCTGCATGGTTAAGGTTTGTTCAATCAAAATGTGCATTTGGATGGTACACTTATTTTTCTTGATTATTTGGTCGGGCTGGAAATATTGAACTAACCTATATCTCTCTCATTTTCTCTATTTACTTTTTAAATTAAAATAATTTATTTTTATGTATGAGGATGAAGATTGATTATCCTCATCATTTTTATCACTTATTTTCCGTTATTTTTCTTTTTCATATAATCAAACAAAGCTTGAAGGTGTATAACTAAAATGTACAACGGATTTTTTTCCCAATTTTTATTTTTTAATAAATTGCTTTTTTTGGGAAAAATCCTAATGCATTTTATTGAGTTTTAAAATATTACAAAAGAAAAACGATATGTAATTCTAATATATAAACAAAAGTCCAATGGTAATACAAAGGAAAGAAACAATAATGGTATGACTACTGGATTACAAGAAAATGAATGTTTCAATTGAAATGTTGGTAGACTACTATTTTATTGTCCTACTTGGTGATCCAATAGTTTTAGGCTACAATTGTATTGCTTGCCCTTAAATTATACATATCTCTTGTTTGTTTCACGTTTTAACCTGATTTTGTGGGCTGCCTTGCTTGTACATAAGAAAGTAACAGGATTAGAAGCTTTGTACTGTATTGTAAATATGCTGCCGTGGCTGCAGGTAAGCATGAGCCCTTGTGAATTGGTGAACAGAACTCCATATACGGTTCATATTTGCAAATAGCATCTGCAATTACCTGGGAATCACGTTTTTATCTTGGGGGAAACTTATTTGATATGTTTTAGCTTATCTTAGGGTCGTTTCGAGATATCATGCTTGCCGGGTTCTTATTATTTAACCACGAGGAGGATCGCTTCATATTTGTACATATTGTAGCCATTAAGGTTGTGGTCTAATTGATTTCCCCAAATTTTAGTATGAAGACAAATGTACTTTTCAGGTAAGGTACTTCTAAAATGCAGGGCAGTCTAACCCATCATTAGGAGATGAGGAAATATAAACAGAGAGAGAATAGTCTTTTTATTCATAAAAAGTATATCCAAGTTTATCGAGTCTCTGAGGTGTTCAGGTAACCTCCTCCAGTCATAGAATTCAGGCCAACAGTTTCTTTATATCCTTCTGCAAATAGAAATAGCAACCATTAGAAGTTTTCACACCCACCACACAGACAGTTTATAGTTTATAAATCAATACAAATCTTATGATCTTTGTGTAATTTAAGTTGGAATATAGTAGATAAACAAATGATATATAAAAAAAAAGAATGGCAGAGAATGCCATAAGCAGGCCTTACCTCAATGCTAAGAGGAGAAGTAGTGGGAGAATATCGATCGACGACATTTCCCTCCTTATCAACCAGGAACTTGGAGAAATTCCACTTGATGCTGTCCCCGAAAAGTCCACCATTGCTAGGCTTCAGGAATTTGTATATGGGAGCAGCCTTTTCACCATTCACATCGACCTGTAATCAAATAACACACGATAATGTCGGTTATATAATAACAATTCCAAGGAGAAGCCAAGAACATCTGATACTATAGAACTTAACAGAAGATACTATTGAATTCATGATTTCACCAAAGCATAAAAAAGGCAACACCACCATTATCACCGAGGCAAACAGAATAAAGAGTTTTGAGACTGACTAACCCAAAGGGTTCAATTTTGAGATGACTCTATAGTGTTTGTCCTATTCTTAGTTCAACTGTGGAGTCCGTTTATATATCTTTGACCGTCAACACTATTAAGTATAAAGCTAGGGTGAAAGCTTTGCAAGTAGTCTATGGTCTCGAAGTTCCCAAAAACATTTAAAGTAATACAACAACCCGTACTTCCATCATAGAGCCAAATGGTATACCTGATCAAATATGGGGTATTCGGCTTTAAAGCGAGTGCAAGCAAACTCTAAGATTTGCTCATTGTTCCCAGGCTCCTGACCTCCAAACTGGTTACATGGAAATGCAAGAATCTCAAAACTTGAACAAGACAGTACCAAGTAAAACAGCATAAAGAGTTAGGAGAGAAATAACAAATCAATTGATCAAATTACTTTTAGCCATGTAAACATTCCAGGTAAAACATGATACAGATACAGACACACACACAAGTAGGAAGGCAAAAAGATACCAAAAGTTTGAAACAAACCTTGATCTTTATATTTCTCATACAATTTACTCAGCTCAGTGTAGTTGGAATTGGTCAAGCCATTTCATCAACATTGAAGTAGCAAATCAAAAACTGTCCAGGAACCAGCAGTTAAAAAAAGAAGAAGGCCAAAGTGCAGCATCATAATTTATTCAAAAGTAGTCTGAGTTGAGTCGATTATAAGGTATACATGTAATGTAATGAAAAAGTCTATTCTGTTTGAAAATTGGTTATAAGGGTACCATTGAGATGCAACATTGACAATCAACAGGACCTTGCCCTTCTAAATGCCTAAACTAACGTCATTTCCTCTCTTGCATCCTGAAGAGCCAAAATACAAAAACAAAACCCATATCTTAGAAAAATTAACTAAATAAAAGAAAGATTAAAATTCATCCATGGAGGATAGATTTGACCCCAAAGCCAACCTTAACAGTGAAGTCATAAATGGATCCCTTGGAGGATTGACTGGCCCATTGTATGATCAAATTCAAATCGGAAACAAACCGGAGAAACTGGCGAAATCTAACTCGAATTCGAACGGAGTTTGCTTGGAACTCAGTAAAAGAGAAGCAGAACAATTAGATCAAGATTTCTTCAAACGAGCACAATACAAATAAAATATAAAACTGTGGAGCATTCTTTATAGGATTTGTGAGTTTCAAATTAAGGCCAAATTGTCGTGTGGGTATCGCGTTTCTTCTACTGTTGGAATATACACGTGGACTTCTATAACTAATTTATTATTTTAGTAACTATACAAATTATTTTTATCAATTTACCCTATGGACGATCATTTTTTTTATAAATGTTATTTTATTGTGTATTTCAATAATTAATTCCCGAATTTGACTATTACCTAAAAGAAGCAATTTTCTCAGCGTAAAAAGATTTTCTTGATTTAGGGTTTTGTGTATGCTGGAGTCAACACCTCTGTCTACAACAGTGATTATCATTAGTGTTCCGATGATAAGTGCTTTATTTAATTATTATTTTACTTTTAAATTTCTCTGTAATCATTGATTTTTATGGTTTATTTGTTCGTTTTGATTCATTTTCTGTCTAGTACGCTAGATTCTGTAAATTGCACTAAAAGGACATAATTCTACAGTTTTTTTATTTTCGAAATCAAATTGGATTAGTGGGCATGAATTTGGGCATGAAACATCTGACGAGACGATGACGTCAACACCTTCTAGAAGGTCCAGTCAGCACTTCTAGAAGAACGAATGGATCAGCCGCACGTTTCTGCAATTCGGATTTGAATTAAAGTCATGTTTTAGGATATTATTTTTTATCTTATCTTTGTTTTAGGTATTTTAGTTTAAATAGTTTTAAGAATTTTAATTATGATTTATTTATTTACTTTAGGAATTATCTTTAGCTTGTTTTTAGGATTTTGAAGGTTATAAATACCATCTCAGGGGTAAGCCTAGAAACATATATTTCACATCTGAGAATTTACTCTTCTTATTCTCTCTAGCTTTATCAAATTTTCTATTCTATTTTCTTTCTAGTTTTCAAAATTCCTTTATTTTATTTTACGATTCTGTTTTCAAATATGCTAAGTATGACTTTGGTCATGTTTAGCTAATTTTCTTTTAAGCCGAAGGCTCAATTCCAAACGTGAGAATTGTAAGGCACTAAAATCGCTTCGGATTTTTCTCTTTATTTTTGGGCTTATTTTCAAATCAAAATGATTTTCAAAACCAAAAACTGGCGTTGGTTTGGATGTTGTTATGGTTAACGTGGGAAGAAGGATTGGCTTTTTGAAGCACATTCGACTTCCTGTGAACACACATAGCAAACTTGTTTGCTAAGAGGAAACTGAGATCAGAATCAGTTATTGTTGAAACAACATAATCCGAGTTGGCATATTTTCGAACTTCAACGTTTTAAGATCTACAACAACATTGTTGTTTCTTAGATCAACTCACAAACCGAAATTTAAGAGTGCACTTGGATATTCGGTACATAAAGCATAGTCACAAGGAATTGTCCTTGTAGAGAAGTAGTCGACGTGAATCTTGAAGTAAAGATCTATTTCGATGATTTGAGGAATTTGAGGTAAAGCTAAAGTCTGAGGTTGTTTTTACCATAAGTTTTCTTTATCTCAATTTATTTTATTTGTTTATTTAATTTTTATCTCATTATACTTCTTTAAACAATTTAAAAACTCCCCCTTTTTATCTTTATCATTATCTTATAATTATTATTTATTATTTTATTATTTTCCCTTTTAAACATATTATAATTATTTATTTTATTTTATCTTTTTATTTTCATATGAAATTATATCTTTTTCTAAATAAAAAAAGTTCACTAAAATAGAAACACCATAGTCCATATGGATCGACCCTGCTTCTCTATACTACTCTTTCTTTTTACTTATTAAGAGGCCGAAATTATTTTGATAGCAAAACGACAGATTTAAAATTGGCGCCGTTGCCGGGGGACTAACGACAAGTACTGATTTATTTTGCTTTTTTTTGATTTATGACCAGAAGAAACCCAAGTGAATTAGAAGATCTAGACTCGGAGATCGAATCACGAGCACTAAGAATCCACGCACAAACTCTTCGAGAGAAAAAAGAAAAAGACAAGAAGAAATAGAGCAGAGAGTTCAGAAACCAAATCAAATCTGGAAACAAACTCTAAAGCAGACGCATATAACGAAGATCAAATCCCGATGGAAGAAGAAGAAGAATAAACGATCCGAGAGCTAGCCGCAACTCCTGTCACTCAGACACCATTATGTATCAATTTTCCTAGTGGCGGGACTCCATTTTAATTAAAGACATGACCTATTCATCTTCTTCCCACGTTCCACGGCTTTCCCACTGAAGATCTGCATAAACACTTGTTGGAGTTCCACTTGGTTTGCACTAGAATGAAATCACAGGGAGTTAGTAAAGATCAAATTAAATTGAGAGCTTTCTCTTTCTCTTTAGCCTACTTGGCTAAAGATTGGTTATTTTATTTACCTCCAAATTCAGTTAATTCATGGGCTGACATGAGTCGAATTTTTATTGACAGGTTCTTTCCAACTGCTAAAGCAAGTGAGTTACGAAGGAGCATTCTTTCCATTCGGTAAAAAATTGAAGAAAGTCTCTATTGGGAACGATTTAAAAAGCTTTGTGCACGATGTTCGCAACACAGATTAAATGAGAAAAATTATACTTCAATACTTTTATGAAGGTCTTTTATTTATGGAAATGAAAATGGTAGATGCCGTCAACGGAGGAGCATTAGTCAACATAGCAGGAGAATTGATTTCAATCATGGCAGCCACCTCTCAACAGTTTTCAAGTGAACTCAGCCGACGGGTTCACGAGATAAGTATCTCTTCCATTGAAAATAAATTAGATAAAATAACTGAAATAGTTACTTCACTTATTGCAGGAAAATCTGAGGTAACAAGAGATGTGGGATATGCACGAAGTTGCACCATCCGACGGACTGTTACCCGATGATATAAGAAGGAGGCAATGCAGAAATCAATGTCCTATGAAACTTTACAGGTCCTCCACATAAACCATATAATCCATATAGTAATACTTATAATACAGGATGGCGAGACCACCTAAATCTCAGCTATGCACCAAATCAAAGGCCAACTTTTCAACCAAGGCCTCCTCATCAACAACAAACGTAAAAGACATCGTTGGAGGAAATAATGAAAAAGTTTGCAATTTCCCAAGAAAAACTGGTTACATCCCAGGAAAAATTCCAAAGCCAAACTGAAGCACATCTTCAAGAGTTGAATAACCAAGTGAGCCAACTATCTCAAACTATGGGGATATTGGAATCACAAGGAAGACTACCTTATCAAAATGAGTTAAATCTGAGAGAGAATGTTAGTGCCATCACACTCCAAAGTGGAACAGTCATCTCGCCTGAAGTTCCAGCAAAAAAAGTTGCACATTAGGAAGAACAAGAAGAAACACCACCTCCATAAATACAAGGTACATCTGACGCACATTCTTCTCATTATTCTCATGAAATCACGCCACCACCCTTCCCATCAAGGTTGATAAAGCGTGATAAAAGAGTTAAAGAAAGGGAAATCTTAGAGGTGTTCCAAAAAGTTGAAGTTAACATACCTCTTCTTGAAGTAATTCGACAAGTACCAAGGTATGCTCGATTTTTAAAAGAACTTTGTACTACAAAAAGAAAATTAATGGGGCACGAAAAGGTAAATTTGGGAGAACATATTTCTACAATTTTTCAACGAAAACTCCCACCAAAGATGAAGGATCAATGTATGTTCATTATACCTTGTAAAATAGGTAATTTTAAAATTAAATGTGCAATGTGCGACTTAGGAGCTTCAATCAATGTTATGCCATTTTCTATTTATAAAATGATTACTAATGAGCCTTTGAAGGAAACATGAATAACCATACAGTTGGCTGATCGATCTGTGATCTATCCAGTGGGAGTGATGGAAAATGTCTTAGTAAAGGTTGATGTATTATTTATTCCTCTAGATTTCTATGTCATTGACATGGAACATGATAGGTCGGATTCTTATTCCGAAGTACTCTTAGGTCGACCCTTCCTAAGCACCTCACATACAAAGATCGATGTTAGAAGTGGTATACTGACAATGGAGATTGATTGTGAGATTTTTGAATTTGATGTTTACAAATCAATGAAATACCCAGATCATGTTGAAAGAATTAATTATATTGATGTTATAGATCCTTTAATTGATGAATAAATTGAATCTAATTTTTCTTATAATCTTTCCAATGATCCTGAACTTTTCCACGAAGAGGAAGAAAGGGATTTTGAAAATATTCATGTAATCAATTCTGATTTATCTTTACCTTACTCTAAAACTAAAATTTTACCTTCTATTTTGCAGGTACCAGAGGTAGAATTAAAGCAGTTACCAGAACATTTGAAATATGCCTTTTTAGGCGAAAATGGAACCTTAGCGGTGATCATCTCAAGTAAATTATTTGAAGGAGAAGAGAAAGCTTTAGTAACGGTGTTGCGTTCTCACACAGAAGCCATAGGATGAACCATTATCGACATTAAAAGATTAAGCCCCTCTACTTGTATGCACATGATCAAAGTCGAAGAAGGAGAAAAGTCATCACGAGAAGGATAACGCCAACTAAATCCACCAATGATGAAAGTAATAAAGAAGGAAATCCAGAAACTCCTTGATGCTGACGTAATCTATTCGATATCGGATAGTAATTGGGTAAGTTCAAAATGAAAGTCGAGTTTGTATTGATTACAGGAAGTTGAAATCTCTTACTCGGAAAGATAATTTTCCCCTTCCCTTTATTGACCAAATGATTGAAAGATTAGCTTGGAAAACTCATTACTGTTGCCTTGATGGGTTTTTCAAGTTTTTTTCCAAATCCCAGTAGCGCCAGAGGATTAAGAAAAAAAATGAATTTTATTTGTCCCTTCGGTATATTTTCCTATATACGAATGCCCTCTGGGCTTTGTAACGCACTAACCACCTTCCAAAGATGCATGTTAAGTATATTTTTCGACTATGTGGAGAAGGGCATCAAAGTCTTTATGGATGACTTCATGGTTTATGATACTTCTTTTAATGAATGTCTTGATAATTTAACTAATGTGCTTAAAAGATGCTTAGAGTATAACCTTGTTTTGAACTATGAAAAATGTTATTTTATGGTTGATAAAGGGTTAATTTTAGGCCATATTGTTTCCTTAAAAGGGATTGCGGTTGATAAAGCTAAAACAAATATTATACACTCATTTCCTTACCCCACAACTGTGAGGGAAATTCGTTCTTTTCTTGGCCATGCAGGATTTTACTGCAGGTTTATTAAAGACTTTTCAAAGATAGCACAACCTTTATGCAATCTTATCTAAAAGGATTAAGACTTTAATTTTGATTCAAAATGCAAGGAATCTTTCGATTCATTAAAGGAAAAGCTTATTTCAGCTCCAATTGTTCAGCTGCCAGATTGGAATTACCCCTTTGAACTTATGTGTGACGCATCAGATACTTGAGTTGGAGTCGTTCTCGGCCAAAAAATAGGGAAAGAGCCACATGTCATAGCCTATGCATCCCAAACTTTTGGAATCGACTCAGAAAAATTATTCAAGTACGGAAAAAGAACTTTTTGCTTTAGAAATATTTAGATCTTATTTGTTTGGCACTAAAATTACTGTTTTTTTTGATCATGCAACTTTAAGGTATTTGATGAGAAAAAAAGAAGCAAAACCGAGGCTTATCCGATGGATCATGCTTTTACAAGAGTTTAACTTGGAAATCAAAGACAAAAAGGGATGCGAAAATCTGGTAGTGGATCACTTGAGTCGAATTCCTCTTTTCACATCTGATCCACCACTTAGAGAAGAATTTCCTGAAGAAAAACTGATGGTGACACAAAGCATAACTCCATGGTTTACGGATATGGTTAATTATTTGGCCACAGGTAAGTTACGATTAGATTTACCAAGAGCTGAAATCAATCGAATTAAGCGTGAATCTCGATACTATATTTGGGACAATCCTTATTTATGGAAGCACTACTCGGATCTAGTAATTCGATGATGTATTTCCGAAAGTAAGGTAAATTCAATTTTACAATTTTGTCACTTTTACTCTTGTGGTGGTCATTTTGGGTAAAAACGTACAACTCATAAAATTCTTGAATGTGGTTTCCTTTGGCCTAACATCTTTCGGCACTCATATATATTTTGTAAAACTTATGAAAGATGTCAACGTACAGGTAATTTAAGCCATAGAAATGAAATGCCTCTTAATTCTATACAAGTTTGTGAAATTTTTTATGTTTGGGGAATCAATTATATGGGTCATTTTATTTCGTCATTTGGAAATACTTATATTATTTTAGCCATAGATTATGTTTCTAAATGGGTGGAAGCTAAGGACACTCGGAATAATGATGCTAAAACTACATTTAATTTTTTTGAAAAATACTATTTTTCCAGGTTTGGCACGCCACGGGCTATAATAAACGATAGAGGAACTCATTTCATCAACCGAGTAATCGAGTTGCTAATGAAGAAATTTGGAGTAACTCAAAGAATTGCTACCGTTTACCATCCACAAACAAAAGGACAGGTCGAAGTATCAAATCAGGAAATTAAAACAATTCTTGAAAAAATTGTTAAACTGGACCGAAAAGATTGGAGTTTAAAATTAATTGATGCACTTTGGGCATATTGAACTGCTTATAAAGGTCTCATTTGGATGTCACCATACCGACTTGTTTTCGGTAAACCATGTCATTTATCGGTTGAGTTAGAACATCGGGCCTATTGGTCCATTAAACAGTGTAACATTGACATGTATGCGGTTGGTGAAGCTCGAAAATTACACATTCAAGAACTTGAAGAAATCTAAAAAAATGCCTATGATAGTGCTCCGATATTTAAAGAAAAACAAAAGAATTTCATGATAATCGAATTTCTTTTAAATCATTTTCTGTCGGACAAAAAGTTCTGTTATTTAACTCTAAAATTAAACATTTTGTAGGAAAACTCAAATCAAAATGGCTCGGACCATTTACAGTGACTCAAGTATTTCCTCACGGTGATGTTGAAGTTGAAAATAACTCAGGAGTTTGGTTTAAAGTTAATGGTCAAAGATTGAAGCTGTATTATGAAAATGTTATGGTTGGTCTAATATAATAAATCAATTTAGAAGAACCCAAAGTTTAAAAAATTAGGTCGTCGAGCTAACAACGTTAAACAAAAGCGCTTTATGGGAGGTAACTCATTATTATTTTTATTTTCCGTTTGTTCAATTTTTTTTTCATTTTTAGGTACGCCGTTATTTCTACTTGAATTTTAAGCAAAATATAATCAATAATTCTTTGATCTAAAAGTGAAAAAATGGTGAAAACCTGACCTAAGGCGTGAAGAGATTGTGTGGTAGCAAACAAAGGAAGAATCATTCGAAAAAAAAAAAACAGAATTTCGAAATACACTGTTCGGATAGTGCAGAAAAAAAGACTTGGCTCGAACTATGTAACACCCATAACCCGTATACAGAAACCAATACGAGTTACAAATGTTACATCAAAGATGCAAAACATTTCTTTAAGCGAATTGAGTAAAATTTTGTTTCATTCGAACATCAACAGTTTTATAGCTTGAACAATTATTATAAAATAATTATTTAGAGAAAAATCGTTATATAAGATTTTTGGTACTAATTCAAAACAATTTCAAGCAATGATAGACAGTTCTATTCTGTTTGATAAAAGAAATACGTCTGTCCACCAAGTTTGATTTAAAACCCAATTTAATTTAATACTAACTATATTAAGAAATTTCAAACATTTCATTCTCGTATACATGACAGCTAAGACTTTTAGAACACAGTAGGATGTCATCATTATTACCTGTAAATATATCCTTAGTGATTTATAACAACCTCAGCTCCTACTTCTCTTCTCTTTTTCCTACGCGTGAAAATCATCACACGCTAAGTATACTCTTAGTGAGACAATCATAATATTTAAAGCAATGTAATAAATAAATTTTAAATGAATAACCATGTTCAATGCCATATGATCACTTTACATGTATTCCACCCATGTTACCATATATTAACAAGATATAATCGAATATCAAGTTTCTTACCAATATACTTTCCATTTATCCCATAAGCTTACCATAAGCTCGTAAGCTT